CCGGGCTGCCGGAGCCTGCCCGGGAGGGACGGGGCGGGCGCGCCTTGGTCGCGCTCTGCTGCCGCGCGGGGGCCAGCCCCTCGGCCGCCGCCTCGGGCACTTCCTGGGGGGCTCGTACCGCTCGCTCTGGGAAGCGAGGGAGCGGCCCATTAGTCCCTGGCCTCCAGACCCCCAGACCCCCCAGCTCCCTCCCTACGCCCCGAGGCCCCTCAGGGGGACTCAGAGCGCGAGCTCGTGGTTGCCCCGAAAATAGCGGTTATGCGGGACTGCCCAGAAGGGTTATTGGGTGGAGAGCTCTGGGAAAGCTCATAAAAGTTTTCCGCTTAGTGCTAAAAATGAGACTAGTGGTTTCGTGTTAAATTTATTTTGGAAATGATTTGTCCATTATTGGGGAGGGGGTAGTGGATAGGAATTCTTGTAAATTCTGAACATGGTAAAATGTTTTTCTTTTCTCTCCACATTCTTTTTCTGCTTCAAAACATAAATGATTGCCTTCTACTTTGATATTTATTGCTCTACGGTAAGGCAAGACTGAATTTCCAAAAGTTTAAAAACAGACTTGAATTTGTTTATAGAAGCGATGCTTTGTTATCTTGCCTCTCTCTCTTTCACTCCTTCCCTTTCTCTTAGTAGAGGATGTGGATACATCTTTCTTTCGGCCACGGACTGAATAGCTCGGCGGCGTTTGGATAAAGCACCCTACTGGGAAGTTTTCTTAAGACATTCGAGATTTAATTGTTGGTCAGAACGCTTTATTATCATTCCTTCTTAGCGTTGCAAACTGAGATTGTGACCTTAGAGTACATTTTCCTAGAACCCCGAGCACACACTGCTTATTTAAGATGAAAGGGAAGTCATTTCTAGACGTGGAGGAAAAGGACGGTTTGGATACATAAAATTGTATGCTTTGAGTGTCTTTTCCATTGTACATTTTAAGACTTTAGTGTGGGGCTTTTTGTTTATTACTGATCCTGGGCTCTGAAGGTTTATTGTGTATTTCAGTATTTGGCTAAAGATCATTTTAAGATTTTCCTTGTTGCATTTTGGTTTGCAGATGAATTTGAAACTGAAATGGAAACTTTTAAAATACCGTTTTATTGAACGTGGTTAACCCTCTTGTGCATACACATTTATAAAATTATAAAATTGGTTAATGTGGCTTGCAGTACATTCAGGTTCATCTCTTTGTGAGCCATAGGCATTATTTTGGTGGTTATTCTGAGTCATCGGTCTTTGTTAATCTGTAGAATTACTTTTATTATTTTTTCCAGCTTTACTGAGATATAATTGACATCTAACATGGTATAAGTTTAAGATATTCAGCGTGTTGACTTGATACTCATGTATTGCAAAATGGTGACCATAGTAAGGTTAGTTAACACATCCATCACCTTCCATAATTACCTATGTGTGTATGTGTGTGTGTTTAGCAACTTTCAAGTATAGAATACAGTGTTAACCATAGTAATCATGCGGTACCATGCATCCCCAGAACTTTCTTATAACTGGAAGTTTGTACCATTTGATCAACATCTCCCCAGAATTGTTTCTTTAAAGTCATTGGCGCTTTAGTATGTCAGCACATATTTTTACACTTTAAAAATAGATTCTGGGACATTTTGAAAATTGAGAATTGGAACAAAGTATCGGACATTTTTCTGCCCTTAGCAAGTACTGCCTGAGATGGTGTGATTTCTGATTTTTTTCAGGCATGTTACTAAATGCACTGTGTCACTAGTTTCTTTACCTTGCTGACTGGTTTTGCCTGTATTTATTATAGGAACTATTTATTTGACATTTCTTCTGGTCCAGGGGGTGATGCTGTACATTTTTCTCTTTATGTCTTACATGAACTTGGCAAAGGGGGCATTATTCAGTTCTAAAGGTAAGGAAACTGTGCCCCTGAGATGTTAAGTAACCGCTGATGGTCGATGTAGCTGTTAAGTAACTCATCTGGGATACAAGGCCAGACCTCTCTGAATCTGAAGTCCACGTTCTTTCCTCTGTGCCACATTGACTTAGTGCCAGGACATGAGGAATGACCCTCAATTACTCGTTAGCATATTTGTAAATTTTCCAAGACATGCCAGAGATACAGATTTGTTTTTCTAGCATTATCATTACTATCCGTCTGTGTTGTTATACAGATTCTCATGTCAACCATTCTCTTCTCACTTCTTTATTCCTGGTTAAATGTCTGGCTCAGGGTTCAAGACCTCCCTCTTGCGAGGGCAGATTTTCTCCTGTCAACATTAATAGGTGGTGAAAGCTTGATGATTCTTCCAAAATAATAACCCCCTATTAATGTGGGGTTTCTAGAGCTGTAGATACAACTATTTTGGAAGGTTATAAACAGTATGGCAATCTGTTTTGGACTATGGGAACCCTCTGAGATTCCTCAAATTAAGCCAGATGATATTTTGATAGATGTTTACCCCTGCAGTTATCCTGTCTCTACTACAATTTCAATTCAGTTTCTGCAGAATCATTTATATCATTATACAAACATTCTGTTATGTCTCTCATCTTAAAATTATTTTCTTGATCCAGTATTCTGCCCCACTTCTCTGGCTCCACTTTGAGAAGGCATAATTTTTTTTTTTTTTTGAGAAAGCATAATTTTTTGATAGAACAAAAATAAATACAGGCAAGGATAACCAGAACGTAATTAGTCATCTACAGGGGGTGGGTAGGAACTGAGTAGAAGGCAGTGGAGGGAACAGCACTGTGGCAATTATATCTTTTTGTATAGTTTTGAGTTTTGGAAACTTGTTTATGTTTTATATGTTCAAAAATAAAATTAACAAGGTTGAAAGCAAAAACCTCCAAAATTGAATATAAACAGCAACAAATGAACCAGCTATATTTCAGTGAATAACATGAACTCTGTGAAGAAAAATCCAAGTAAGTCTTTAACACAACACTTGGACTATCTACCCTTAATCTAAAGATAGAAGGGACTGCAAAACAACAACAACAAAACCAACTTGAACCTGGTATAGCAAACTGGTTTTTTATGGTGGTAGGAAAAAAAGCAGTTCTTGAACTATTTTGTATGTGCTGTAGGAATGAGCAAATGAGTAAATTCATTGATGTTTTTTGAGGTAGGGTTTACACTGTGGGAGAAGGGAAATAAAGATATGGAGTGGAAGAAGACAGTGAAACACTCTCTGGTGTTGGGTTGGAATTAGAGTTATCATATATTTCCTAGCTCTGCCTGATGAACAGGTGTAGACAGTAGCAGTGAGCACAAGTAGTGCCCATATCTAAGTGGCTGGTTCCAGGGCTGGGGCAGGGAAAGTAGAAGACAAGCCTAGAACACAAAGTAAGGAATTGTTCTCCAAAATGGTGGTGGCATATCAAAAGGACATAGGAACTAGCTTGAACGGCTAAATCTGGGAAAATTTGAGCCTCGAAATGAATAATGATAGTAATGGATTGTAACCTATGGAATAAAATAAGAACCCACAAGTTCATAATAAATAAGGGAAAGGGGAAAGCACTCTCAAGTAGACTGCCAATAAAAATGTAGAAGGAGCAAGAGAATTCATAAAGTGACTGGCTTGTAACCACCATGGTCACGTTGATTCAGGCAAATGTTACTAATGGAGAAAGTTTGATGGGGAAAGGATATTAATACAGTTTCTAGTGGTCTCTCCAGAGGTTCATGACCAAGGGGAAAAGCAATAACTTCACAGTACAGAAGTCTGGCAGACCATCTCAGTGAAGCGATCAGTGTTAATATCACCAATAGTGGGATAAACAGATTCTTCCTGGTGTGCTTGGACTGGGGACATCAGTATTTTTCTAAAGTGCATAATCAAAATCTATGTAGAGGAAACAATTGAGGGACCTTAATTGAGGGCCATTCTACAGAGTTACTAGCTTGTGCTTTTCCAATATGTTAATATCATAAAAGACAAAGGCAAAGGAACTGTTGCAGATTAAAGGAAGTTTAAGAGACCTGACAGTAAAATCCAGTGCATAATCCTGGATTGGATCTTGGATTGGAAAATCCAGTTGATCTAAGACTATTATCAGGACATTGGCAAAATTTGAATATGTACCAAATATTAAATAATAGTATTGCATCACTGTTAAGTTTCCTGAATATGATAATTGTGCTGTGGTTATGTAAGACAGTGTCCTTGTTCTTAGAAGATACACAGTGAATTATTTAGGACTAAATGGCCAAAGTATCTTCAATTTACTCTCAAACGGATGAGCAGTAAGAATTATTATATATGAAGAAGGAACTTGATAAAGCAAACATGGCAAATATTAACAATTACTGAATCTAGGTGAAGAGTCTAAGAGTATTCACTATATTACTTTTTTCTTTTTCTTTTTTTTTAATTTTATTTTTTCTTTGTTAAAATTTACCTCCAAATTAGCATATAGTAAAACAATGATTTCAGGAGTAGATTCCTTAGTGCCCCTTTACCCATTTAGCCCCCCCCCCCAAACCCCTCCAGTAACCTTCAGTTTGTTCTCCATATTTATGAGTCTCTTCTGTTTTGTCCCCCTCCCTGTTTTTATATTATTTTTCTTTCCCTTCCCTTAATGTTCGTCTGTTTTTTCTCTTTACTTTTTT